TCGCAAGGGCTCAACTAGACTGGACCTAATCTTGACCGTCTTCTGTCCCTCTCAGTCAATGGGTATCTCCTGAAGCTCTTCCATTGGTATAGTCCTCTGCTGCTCCATTGCTTTCTCTAACTTGACCGTCTTTCGTCCCTCTCAGTCAATGGGTATCTCCTAAAGCTCTTCCATTGATATAGTCCTCTGCTGCTCCATTAATTGTTTTCTCCAAGGAGAACTGATTCATCCATCTGTAAGTTCTTCACAAGAGAGTGTCAGTCTTGGAGTCCAGGATGAACCAAGCTAGGGCATATCTTCGGGTCCCCAGGCGAACACATCAGTGTTTACCTGCAAGAACTCAATCATGAATCCTCGCAAGGGTTCGACTAGACTGGACCCAATCTTGGCCGTCTTCCATCCCTCTCAGTCAATGTGTATCTCCTTAAGCTCTTCCATTGGTATAGTCCTCTGCTGCTCCATTGTTTTCTCCAACTGGAGGCAGGCTAGCTCAATGGGCATGGAGTCTTGCGCACCCTTACCCTTAGTCGAGAGCAGGTAGTAGGACCTGGCCTCTTGCTGATTGCTCTTGGCGACTCCGACTCCATTAGGGGTCGAAAACTTGACCATCTGGTGGTAAGTTGATGGAATAGCCCGCAAGAGATGGAGGACGGTTCTACTTAGGATGATAATATGGGCCGACTTGAGATCTATCACCAGGAACTGGACTTGGATGGTGGTTTGCCTAGGGTGCTCTCTAATTGTTGAGGGGAGAGTAATCATCCCTTCTGGCAAAAGAGAGTGGTTGGTGAATCCGATGAGGGATCCTCTACAGGGGAGTAGGTGAGATTTGTTAATGCCCATCTGGTTGAAGGTGTCGACATATAGGATGTCCACCAAACTCTCTGTGTCGGCCATGATTCATTTCACCTGATAGCCATCAATTGTTGAGGTTATGACAATAAGAACATCATGAGGCGTCTTAACGCCTTGCAGGTCGGCATCCCCAAAAAATATGGGCTCCTCTGCCTTCATCCTCTTGTCGCCTTGGTTCCGACAACGCCCTCTTAGCATATCTCTTCCGAGCATTGTTGGACGACCCTCTAGTAGTGGAACCTCCACTGATCATGTTTATGACCCCTTTATAGCTGGGCTCCGGGGGTCGGCTGTCTTGGCATGGTCGGGGACGAGGCAAAAAAAAACCGTGAGCGGGATCTCCTATCTATTGCTACCCCTGACTGGGGGTCAGTTTTTCCCTACAATCTTGTCGAGAGTCCCAAGGTTCTTCAAGTACCCCCTCTCAATCAGGTCCTCGATATCCCTTTTAAGGATACGATAGTCGTTGGTGAGATGATCGTGGTCCTTGTGGTAACAACAAAATTGCCTCATATTGCGGTTCATGGGATTCGATGTCATCTTAGGAGTAGGCTCCTTGAGATATCACTCCTTCTAAACCATGATGAGAGTTGATGCGGGAAAGGTGTTATGGACTGTGGGGGCTAGCCTTGGGGACTGGTGCCTCGGTCGGTCCCTCATGTTGGACCGATTGGAACGAGAGTCAACTCTTAGAGTGTCTTTGGCTGACTCTGGTGTTGGTGCCACCACCGGTGCTGCTACTGAAGTCGCCGGGGTAGCTGGGATTACTGGTGTTGCTAAAGCTGTGGTTGCGGAGGTCTCTGTGGCCCTAGCTATCGCCTTGTAGGCTCGGGCATCCTCTATGTCCATATACCAATGAGCCTTGGCCTTCAACTGCTCATAGTTGGTGATTGGCTTCTTGGCAAGCGAGTCGGCTAACTCATTGCTCTGCAGGCCAGCCATGAGTGCAGACATAGCAATTGCACTCCCTGGGTCATTGACCTCCAGCCTCTTCACCTAGAAGCTCTTAAAGTAGGCTCGAAGGCTCTCTCTGGGCCCCTGCCTCATCTGAATCAACAAATAAGGGGACAACTTATGCTTGATGTCAGCCAGGAAGTGGTGCATGAACTTTTGGCTAAGTTGTTGGAAACTGTTGATGGACTTCTTCTCAAGAGCATTCCACCAGAGCTTGGCACTCCCTGAAAGAGTGATGGGGAAGCATCGATAGATGACCGCTTTTGAAGCTTGAAGCATGCTCATCACGTTATAATAGTTTTGAACATGCTCGGAGGTGTCTCCCTCGCCTTTGTACTTCTCCATGTAAGACATCTTGAACTTGTCACATGGGGCATTGATAAGGTCATTTAAGAGAAGGGTGTTCCCCCGATAGCATCTACGACGGCTCTATACACTTGGTCGTATATAGAGGCCCCTATGGTAATAGAGGGGGCGGGAGAGGCATGATGATAGAGTAAAGTCTTAGAGACCACTCTCCTGGTGCGGTCCCCAAAGTGACTTGGACCTGGACTCTCACCAGTGATCTCCTGATGATAGTGGTGATGTTGGTGAGGCTCGTCAGTGCAAGCTGATCGACATGGTGGTGGGGACATGTGTTCGACGCGATCCCGTAGCTGCTTGGCAGCAGCATGAGGAGTTCGAAATGGGACTACTCATTGTGCTCCAAAAGGAGTATGAGTTTCCGATCGCTGGTCTCCAGAAGGTGGGGGGAGAGGTGAGGTAGCTCGTTGTGGCTGTGAAAGCCGACTGAGAAGTTCGCTAGTAAGGGTAGCGAATTGAGAGGTGAGGTAGCTCGTTGTGGCTGTGAAAGCCGACTGAGAAGTTCGCTAGTAAGGGTAGCGAATTGTTCTTAGAGAGACTGAGAAAGCTTATAAGCTGTTTCCTACAATTGTGCTCGAGTAACGTAGCAATGATGTGGTCCTATAGGGAGAAATGGACACGACCCATGCTTAGAACCTGACATGTTTTCTATAAAAAGAAATATGCCCTGTGGTGAGCGCCAAACTGTTGACATTAAGTGATCACACAGTCAGTTGTATCCGTGATTGGATAGGGTTAATGAGCATTAATGAGGGGTCGCTTTCTTTCCCGTCTTTATGTCTGGTTCTGGAGTAGGGTTGCTGAAAAATCTACACAAGTAGAAACTCATAGGAGGACGAGGCTTAGGTCCCCTGTGGTTCCTTCGACGATCAAATTAGCTAGTGAACTTGAGTGGGAAAAGATAAAGAACTGTTTAGAGTTCTCGTATGTGCAGTATATCTGCTTAAAGATCAGATTAAAAAGATCAAGAAGATCCGATCAAAAAGATCCAAAAAAGATCCCATCTAAGTTAGAATAGTATCTTTATTTATAGTTGTAAAACCCCACAAAAATTAAGATAATATATGATTAATTATGATAAGTGAATTTTTATCATGATAAATATTATTAAATAATGTATAAGTATGGTAGCAAGTGATTTGAGATCAAACAAGTTCATGTATGTGAGAGAAACTAGTCAAACCATGCACAGAGGCCAAAACATGCACGGCCAGATAATGCACTGGCCAGTCGACACAAGGATCAGTTGATCGATGAGCGTTTTTCTAGAATCCTGATTTGATTTGGATTCGGATATTTTGAGGCCCAGGTGTTTGGGTCAGAAATTTCTATTTTCATTGTCTTGAATCTATTACAACTTAGTCGTTACAATAAACTCAAATAAATAAAAAATTAATCTTTTTATAAGATCTTCTTATACAATAAAAATATAAATATTACAATTAAAAAAACAAACAGAGGACGTTTATCACCCGCTGCTTGTGTGAGATCTTTGCATGTGCCGGGGACGCGTTAGTTTGTGGATCACCGCAGATCAGATCCGATTGACAGAGGATTGATTAAATCTCTTACTTCACAAAGAAAGTAATTGCTGAATCGACAATCACAACCAAGCGAGATTTTGTCTCTTCTCAAGATCAAAACCAAGTTTGATCCAGAGGAAAGAAGGAATGTGTCTCAGATCTCTTGAAATTCACTCTTTATGTATAGGAAATCGCAAAGATCTAGCCAACCCTCTCTGAAATTCGTGGCTCTTGGCTTTGCAATTTGGCAGCACCTCGCCCTCTTTGATTATAATTCACCCCCTTTTAAAGAAGGCTCTAAGCTTGTATTTATAGGGTTCCGGATGTGGGGTATTTGGATAAGAATGAGAGATTTGGCTTTATCCTCAGTTGACAATGGCCTAACCATGTGTAGAGATGATATCAAGTTAGTTGGGAACCTCTGGAACGAATAAATCCCGTAAAAACCACTTAAAAACCGTCGAAAATGCGTTTAAGGCTCAGGACTGTGCGAGCCACCATTTGGTGGCTCGGCATGGTGCGAGCCACTAGAAGGTGGCTCGGCCATTGGCGGAGCCACTGGCTTTGGTCGAGTTGTTTTTGTGTGCCTCGGCTGCCAGGGGCTGTTCCGGTTTTTCGGGTTTTGACTTGTTGCGTCGTTACGTGCGCTTCATCATTTTGTTGACTTATATGGTTCATCGATTCGCTTCATGCGTTTCGTTAACTTGGAGGTGGCTAATGAGCGTGCGGGCCACTTGGAGGTGGTTGATGAGCACGCGGGCCATATAGAGGTGGCATTCCAATGGCTTGTTGCTACGTCACCAACAGTTCACCGATTCGCTTCATGTGCTTGTCGGCGTCAGATAATCCTCCTTTACTCGGATAATAGTGTTCTGTCTCGAGTTGTGTTTGGAGACCTATAGGCAATTTTTGACGCCTATAGATACCCCCTCCAAAGTATTTCATACTTATTCTTTTATAGAGGAGCCTGGAATACTTGGGATAAGATATGCCATGTCCTTAATTTTCTAGAAGGACCCGTGAACTACTTCAATTCTTGACTTCTTTTGCCTTCAGTCTATTCAGTATTTTGTCGAATAGATAAAGTTTTTCCGATGATGCATTTATTGTCTGACCGTTGTTGAAGTCTCGAGTTGAAACGGGTGTGTTGATTTCTGAACTTAGCTCTTATCATTGAGTCAACATTGAACTACTCGTCTTTGTCGGGAGTTGGTATCTGAATGTGAGTGAACTCCCTGGAATCACCCTTTAACCTAGAATTTTTCTTTAGGCTTATTTTGGCAAAATTATCGATGCGTTGATAGGCATCAACCTTTACTGTAATGTGTTGACCGGCATTAACACAGTTTATACTCATACATTTACTAGAGTCTACACAGTTTAAGCTCTTAAGGTGTTGGAGCGTGGCGGTCCCAAATGTCGAGGCTACAGGATCAACTGTTAAAACTGATTCATCTGCATGTATGGATCTTATCCTGAGGTTGTTAGATGCTCAAGTTATGAGACCAACTAATGAATGTGGTGCATCAATTACTCTTGCATTTATAGGATTTTTAGCAAACTCTCATCCATCAACGGGTCTAATGAGTCTTTACCGACTACCGTTTGAGTCGGGCTAGCATGCAGATTGTTTAAGTCCGTTCTGCACGTAACGTTGTTCTAAAAGAGTTAACTTTTTTAGTGCTATGATATTAAATACATAGACTTCGTCTTTCTTACGGGAATAGACTACCCGACAACGTGTGTTAGACGTAGATTTAGGATTTTTGGTAAATCCTCAGCCCTCAACGGATTTGACGTGCCTTTACCGATTACCGTTTGAGTCGGGCTTGTATGCTGATTATTTAAGTCCGTTCCACATGTAACGTTGTGCTAAGAGAATCAACTCTCTTAGTGCTATGATGTTGAATATGTAGACTTCGTCTTTCTTTCAGGAATAGACTACCTGACAACGCATGTTAAGCATTGACTTATCCCTACTTAGGTTTCGGGATAAAATTCCCCAGACTTGAATTCTGGTGTCTTTTTTACTCGGTAAAAGACTAAATCGGCAACGCGTGTTAGGCGTTGGCTTACCCCTACTCAGGATTCGGGATAAAATTCCCCGGCGTGTGAGGCACGAATTTTGGCATTATTAATAACGGTCTACCACAATATCGAATATGTGTGCTTTTGTCCTTTTTATGGTCAAGGACTAATCGG